GCTTCTTGGACCTGTGGTTTCATATCTATCGTTAATTTGGACAATTCTTGGCCATTATTTCTTTAAGTATTTCTTTTGCTCTCTTTGTCTCTCTTCTTCTGGGATTCCAATTACGTGCATGTTAAACCATTTCATAGTATCCCACAACTCCTGGATGCTCTGTTCTCTTGTTATTGTTGTTTTTAATTTCTTTGGGTTCAGTTTCTATTGACATGTCTTCAAGTCTTTTCCTCATTGTACCAAGTGTACTGATGAGCCCACTGAAAGCATGCTTCATCTTTGTTACTGTGTTTTTTATTTCTAGCATTTCCATTTGACTCTTATAGTTTCCCTCTCTGATGAAATAACCTTTATGGACTAGCATGTTTTCTGTTTTTTCTTTTAGCTTCTTTAACATATTTTTTGTAGTTATTTTAAATTTTCAGCCTTGTAGTTTCAACATCTGTGTTGTTTCTGGTTCTGGTGATTTCTTTGTCTTTTAAGACTGTTTAGTCATTAAGTCTGTATTTTTCTTTTAAGTACTTGAACACATTTATAATATGTGCTTTAAAGTATCCATCTGCTATCTCCAACATCTGGTTTATCTTGGGTCTGGTTTCTGTTGACTGCTTTTTTCTTTACTGAGTGTCACATCTTCCTGTTTCTTTGCATATCTGCTCTCTCTCTCTCTCTCTCTCTATATATATATGTGTATATCCATATGCACATATATATATATGTTGTAGAAGCTACATTGTACAAACTTTAGATTCTGTTATCTTTCTCTGAAGAATATTGATTTTTTTTTTTCTGGCCAGTAGCTCAGTTACTGAATGGGTGTAGGCTTAGTTTTTTACACTTCATTAGGATGGGTCTGTAAAAAGCCCAAGATGTTTCCCAGGTGCCTTTAACTTGGATGGACTTAACATCCAAACTCTTTATTTTCTGCCGATCTCATTGAGGTTTAGTGTTAGGCTTTGTTTTGGTTTGTCAAGAATAGACCTTATTCTAGGGCATTGTCTTCACTCCTAAGCTGTGGCCTTTTTAATGTGTCAGCTGGGTGCCTGGTGTGTTATAGAGATCTCTCCACTCAGCTGGGCTTGAACTTCAACATCTTCCAGTACTGCCAGACGTCCAGTGTCTCTGTTCTCATAACCCCAAAGTAGCCACTCTCCAATAAGACATCCGTAGCCCAGCCCATGGTCATGGACTCATGGGACATCCCAGGCATTTTCTCTCCTTCCTGTGCAGGTCCCTCCCTTCTGGTGCCCTGCTATATAAACTGTAGCCACTTCAGTAGCCCCTAACTCTGACCTCTGCCTCCTCAGCTCAGTGGGTCCACTGTGCTGTGCTTGAGCCCCTCTGCCCACTGAACCAGGTCAGGAAATTGTCACAGGCAGAGAGTTGGAATGATCATGGGGCTCAACTGCGTTTCCTTTTTCTCCGTTGTTGTAGACTTGTGCTACCTATTGTCTATTACCTGAAAATAGTTGTCTCATACATACATTTGACCTGTTTAAATAGTTGTTTATGGCAGAAGAACTAATCTGGTACCTGTTATTCTTTTATGACCAAAAGTGGAAATCTTTCCCTATGCCATTATGTGCTGAGTTTGTGGAAGCCATGGTTTTTGACCAGACTTGAAGAGTGGTGCCTTAGAATATCAGCTTTATCCTCACCATTATCAGGCAGCTCATCTGCTAGCACAGTGGTTTTCACACGTTAGTAGGCATGAGAATCATTGTGAGAAGTATTGTTCCAGGCCCCTTTATGCCATTGGTAAAGGACTTGTCCTGTCGTACATAACCTAAAACATCGTATCCCACTGTATATAAGAATTAAGATAAAGGATATGAATAGGCAATTACAGGAGAGGAAATACAGATGACCAATAAGTAGATATTCAACCTCACTGGTAATTAAGAAAACGAAACTAAAGAGAACCAGAGATTCCCTTTTTAACTCATCAAGTGGGGAATGAATTAAGACATTTGATTATATTGTCTCTACCATAGGGAAATGGATGTCCTCATATGTTGCTGTTTTGAGATGGGAATATACATTGGTATAGCTTCTCTGGAAGACAATTTAATACCATCTATTGGGGCAAAAAATATGCAAGCCTGTGACTCAGCAATTTGCCTTCGAGGCAGCTCCCTAGAGAAACAGTGTGCACAAGGAGTTACATGCAGAAATGCTTATGAGAGACTATTTGTAGTAGCAAAATGTTGGAAGCAAGGTAAAGGGCCATCAGTGGGGCTATTTTCATACTGTTCTATGAGCTAGAGGTGTATTTAACAACATGGATAAACTTCCAAGATGTATTGTTGACTGAAAGGCACACAGCAGTATCAACAGCATGGTAGCGCTTATGTAAAAGTCAACACACACAAAAAAAATCAGGTGATTCTCAGGTGTGTTTATATATGTTTGTGAGGGTATACATTAAACAAGTCTGGAAGGGTACCTGCCAACAGTGGTTTCCTCAGGGGAAGGCGAAGGACTTTTAGATGGTAGACGGTGGTAAAAGGGGACTTTAGTCTTATCTATAATGTTTTGTTTTTAAGAATATGTTCATCTGTTACTTGTATAATTTAAAGTTACATAATTAAAAATCAAAGGCTGTTCATGTATACACTGAGCCAGCTGCTCCCACCCTGTCAAGTCACTGTTTCCCCTGTGTTTGGGCATTGCAGAAAGGCATGTAGGTCACACCTGTGTTTGGCCCTGCCTCAGAGCTGCGGAAAGAATTGTGGCTCAGGGTTAGCAGTGAGCAAAGCTTTGGCAGAGGTCCAGAAAACACACTGTCTGTCACCCTGCAGCAAGCGGGGCCCAAGGCTGTTTGCTGACCGCCCTCAGGGACGGTGGCCCTTGCCTCATTCAGGCTTGAGGGATGGAATCCAGAGGATGGAGGTCTGTGGGAGTGAAGGTCTTTATTTGTCCAACTCTGGGGTGTCACTTGGCATCCTCCTCCTGTTCAAAATACGGGACACTGGCTCTTGGGTCAGATCCGGTCTGTTCAAGTTTTGCTGGTGCCACAGGGCCTCTCTGTTCTATGTTCTTTCTTCAGCAGCCTTCCTGGCAGAGAAGTCTGAACTTGGGCGGGCTGGCTCGGCACAGCTTGGTAGTGGGAGTGAGGCAGCCACAGAAATGGAGCCAGGCTGGGGCTGGTTTGTCTATGGAGGACAGATGATCAAAGCCAGATGCATGGGCCTGCACTCCTTCCGCTCAGGACCCCAGACGCCTCCCCTGTGCCAGTCAGGCAATCTGTACCTGCCTCACAGCCAGGTGCCCACCCACAAGAGGGACTTGTTGCTGTTTTTCTAATTAAGCCTTCCCTTATATTACTGCCATTAAAGGAAGTATGGTACAGAAAGGTACTATCTAGACCAAGCCAAAGAATCATAGTTTTATTTTATATAGAGCTTTAATTAGTAGTAGGTTTTTAGGAATAATCTGATTTTCCTGACACACGGAAGTTAAATTCCTTAGGGAGCTCCCCAGTGGAGGAATCTAAGACTTCGTAGAGCCTGCGAATCCTACAGCTGAGTTCTCTGCAGCTTGTTGCTTCTTTACAGAGTGCCGCCAACCCCCTACCCCGCTTTATTAAATCACAGGATTACTGTGAGTCTAGGTCCGCGCAGAGATGATCAGCTCTAGAGCAGACGATCCACATATGAGTAATTGGATGTTATCTGTCTAGACTTTAATGGCATCTTGTACAGTTTTTTTAAAAGGAACTCAAAATGACTCACTCCCATGTTTCAAAATCTGCAGAAGCTTTGAGGTATATAGTAAGTGAATTATTTTCTCTTGTTTGCACTTAGGGGAACAGAGGCCAAAAGAGAATTTTGATGTCAGTGGGAAACAGGTTCTTTTTTCTGTGATGGTCTCACTTATCCATCTGTTCTTTCATTCATCATTCCTTGTACAAACACTGACCGAAGACCCACTGCATACTCTGCACTATACTAGAAGCTGGGATACAGTGAGTAGCAAACCACAGGGCTCCTACCTCCTGGATCTTCATCACCTAGACCTCAGTCAGAGAGTCTTGTAGATAATGAACTTCAAAGTAACAGAGATAAGCATCCCAGGAGAGCTACGGAGTAATGTGGAAGTGGAGGGTGGGGTCTGACCCACTGTGGGGGTGCAGGTAAGGCTTCCCTGAGGCTGTGATTGTGGGGCTGAGTCCTAAGGATGAACAGGTGGTTACTGAGCAGAGTTGGCCAGGCGTGGGGAAAGGGCAGATGAGGCACGGCGGGAGGGAGGGACTAAGAGGGTAGGGTGCTTGGAACCAGAGTGGGGTGAGCAGCTCAGGAAGAGGCTTGGGAAGAGGAGGGCCCAGGCCTTTTTTCAGAGCCAATGAGCTATGCAGAGGACTTGGGCCTTTGTCCTGAGGGCAGCGAGGAGCCATTGAGAGGTCGGATACTGAGGAGTGACGTGATCAGAATTGGAGGTTACAGAGACGGCTCTGGCTGCAGTTGCAGGACAGCACTCCCCTCTAGTGAAGGATGGGCATGAGTGGCCCGTCCAGCACGTGATATAGTCCGGGGAGCTGCAGAAGTGGTGTGGAGGGTGGTGGTGGAAGAGCTGGAGAGGAGAAGACATGGAGCACTGGTGGAGTGTAACAGGGAGGGGTCGGAGTGCCAAGCGTGGATGGAGGTGGGAGCACACTCCCTGCCTCCAGGAACATTTGTAAGAAGCAGGAGAGAGTTTGGAGGCAGGGAGGGGCGGTGATCATGAATGCGGTTTTGGACATGTTGCTTATAGCCCTTGAGGTGCCCATGAGAAGGGTCCAGAGTCTGGTGTGGTTATTCTTCTCCCTTCGGTCCACACCCTGAAGCGTTTCTCAATCCGGAAAGATTAATGAGCCTTTGCCAAAGTGAGCAATTTAATGCTCTTGGTGACGGGAAGACATGATGAAGACACATTTTACTTTCAGTAAAATGGAAAAAAAGTAACTATTTAAAAGTTATACTTGAATGTTCTGCACTTCACTGTGCCTGTTTTTCACCCAGGCCAACTACACGGACCCCCAGAGCAAGCTGCGCTTCAGCACCATCGAAGAGTTTTCCTACATCCGGAGGCTGCCGTCCGATGTTGTCACCGGCTACCTGGCCCTGAGAAAGGCCACGAGCATTGTCCCCTGAGCCTTGAGAAATGGAAAGGAAGTGGGAAACGCCTTCAAAGGCAGACTTGGGACTCGTGATTTTATTTTATGGAAACACTCATTCTGCTGTCAGTCTGAAAATGCCAATGCGGTGCCTTGGAAAGAATGTTTGGCTTTAATTTAAGGATTTTTTGGTATGTTTTCCCTCCAAGTGTGATACTAAATTCTCCTTCAGTTGTTGCCTCAAGTAAAGTTGTTTGACAAGAAAATACAATAAAATTGTGCTTTTAATTTAACCAAGTGAGTCCCTGAATTTTGCTCCAAAGTTGTGACCTCTCTTATACTACTGTAAAGGCTGTGGTGAATCCAACAACAGGTATGGGTTAGCCCTGATCCTGGTGACTCTCTTCTTAGAGCATGTTAGTCTTTCTCCTTGATCAGAATGCTTAGAAGAGGTCCAAAACTGGTTGTCATGAACTGAATAGTGTCCCCCAAAAATACCTGTTAAGTTGACTGGGCCATGATTCCCAGTGTTATGTGGTTGTCCTCCATTTTGTGATCTGATGTAATTTTCCTATGTGTTGCAAATCCTAATCTCTGCCTGTGGTTAATGAGGCAAGATTAGGTTAAGGTCATGTTAAAGAGGATTAGGGTGGGATGCAACACCCTTACTGAGGTCATAGCCCTGATCCATGTAAGGGAAGTTTCCCTGGGGTGTGGCCTGCATTACCTTTTATCTTAAAAGAGATAAAAGGAGAGACAAGCAAGCAGAGATAGGGGACCTCATACCACCAAGAGGAAGCTCTGGGAGCAGAGTGTGTCCTTTGGACCTGGGGTCCCTGTGCTGAGAAGCTCCTAGACCAGGAGAAGGTTGATGACAAGGATCTTCCCCCAGAACTTGCACAGAGAGAAAGCCTTCCTCAGGAGCTGGCACCCTGACTTCTGACTTCTAGCCTGCTAGACTGTGAGAATAAATTTCTGTTTGTTAAAGCCATCCACTTGAGGTGTTTTTGTTATAGCAGCACTAGATAACTAAGACACTGGGTTTAGAAAAGAAAGAACTGAGGAGCTTGCCCTGCCCCACTGGGCCAGTCCTCACCTTTGTGCCTCAGCCTCCCTAGCCCTGACCCTGTTTTCTAGAAGTGTGGGGTCCCAGCGTTGACATTGTCTTTGTCCAAGGAGGGCTTTTGGCTTGCCATTTGGTTGCAGTCTGCCTCGGACAGTATTTGCCTCTGCATCCTGTGAGAAGAGTAAGGATTCAAACTGGTTTGAACCCCTGCTAATAATTTGCATCTCTAACAAGTTCCCAGGCAATGCTAATGCTGTTGGTTAGGGACCAATTCTTGAGAACCACTAGTAGACAGTGGTTCTCAAAATTTATTATACGTAAGAATCACCTGAGCATCTTGTTAAACTGTAGATTCTGATTCAGTATATCTGGAGTGGAAATGCAAATTCTCAGCAGGGGTCTGAACCTGAACGAACTGGTTTGCAGCCCTGGAGAAGAGAAAGCATTTCCCTGGGCCAGGAAAAGGGGAGCCTGGGGACATGCCTGGTTTCTCCTGGGCTGTATCCCATGCTTTTTTAGGGAGGGCAGTGGGACTAGTCCCTGGGGCTCCTAAACCAGAGCTTTTTGTGGGGATTAGGGTCCCAGGTGCCCTTCCTTTAGAATAGGGAAGGCCCCTGCCCCAGCCACTGGCCGGGCTTAGAGAAAACACAAACAAAGCTGGAGTCAGCCAGAGAGCAGCTCGGGCAGGTGACAGCTGTCCGGAACTTGGCTTCCCTTCCTCCGGTTGCAGCAGTCCCATGTCATGCAGCACCTTCACAATCACTAGCGGCTAGAGGAGGAGGGGTGCCATGCAGCCTCTCTGCCCCCAAAGGGACCTGAGGTGATGGCCAGGAGAAGTGGGGAAACTTTCCTTATCCCAAGATCACTGAAGCATCTGAGCCTCTGGTTCTCAAGCTTGAGGGAGCATCAGAATCACCTGAGGGCTTGTTGAAACAGGTGGCTGGGCCGCACCTCAGAGTGACTGATTGAGTAGGTCTGGGGTGGGGCCCAAGATTATGGATTTCTAACAAGTGATGCTAATGCTGCAGATCAGGGACCACTTTTCTTTCAAAAGAAGTTGAAGGTCTTTTCTTGAGTTCTGTTCTTGTTCCTGCGTTTGCTGCCAGTAGTCAGTTTAGGAAAACCCCCCTCTTCCCTTCCCATGTAAATAAGCAAGTGAGCCAAGAGCCCTTCCTGCTTCGCTTCCACCTTCAGTGATAAGAAGAAAATGTGGGGTAGGTCACTTTTCCATGGGGGCTCCCAGTTGGACAATGTGCTGGAATAGTTTCCAACACTGATTGCTTGGCACCACCTCAGACTCTTCAGGGGCAGGGTCCAGAATTAACAAAGGAATCCCTGCCCTGCACATGCCCACTGGAGAGGGCACGCAGACTTGCTTCTGCAGGCTTCTTTCAGTGATTCTCAGTGTTTGTTCTGTGAACCCTGTCAGTCACCTGGGGACCTGTTAAAATGTGGATTCCTAGGCCACGTCTCTAGACCTTCAGACTCAGGAAGTGGGGCCCAGCAATCTGCATTTTTAAATATTGTGTCTTAGGTGAAAGTTTACAGAGCAAATTAGTTTCTCATTCAACAAAGTGTGCAGAAAATGTTCCATGACATTGGTTGCAGTCCCTGCACTGTCTCAGCACTCTCCCCAGTTCTGCACTGGGTTCCCGGTTTCCTTTAGTCTGGTTTTTCTACCCCTTCTTGCCTTCTCATCTTTACTTCTGAGCAAATGTTGCCCTTGTGGTTTCATATAATTGTTTGTTCTATGGAGCATGTTCTTCCGGGTGTTATTGTTTATTTTATAGGCCTGTCTATTGTTTGGCTGCAAGGTTGTTTCCAGGAATGGCTGCAGTTCCAAGTCAGAGGGGTGGCAGTTCCAAGTCAGAGGAGTATCTTAGGGCCATAGCCTCAGGGGTTCCTCCAGTCTGTACCAGGCCAGTAAGTCTGGTCTTTTTTTATGGATTTGATTTTTTGCTCTTCATTTTTCTCCCGCTCTGTCCAGGATCCTCTACTGTGATCCTGGTCATAGCGGTAAGTAGTGGTAGCTGGGCACCATATAGTCCTTCTGGTCTTGGAGTCATGTAGGCTGTGGTACGTGTGGTCCGTTAGTCCCTTGGACTAATTGCTCCCAGCAATCTGCATTTTGACAAATATCCCAGTGTGAATATGATGCACATAGGTATGAGAACCGCTGCCTTCCACAGGCAGACAGAAGCGTGTGCCCGACACTGTGCTCCCTTCTTTCCCAGTCCTTGCCAGGCTTCCCCTCTCCCTGCCTCCCTCTTTTCACTGGAGACCAATGAGTTCCAAAGGTCAGGTCATTTCTGTCATCCAAGCTCCAGGGGTCCAACCTGAGCCAAACCAAGCTTCAAGCTGTGAATGTTTCCAAGAATGAGTCCTACAGGTTTTGGAACAAGCAGGTTACTGATCCTCTGCTGAAGTAGCCCTTGTTGTCCATGCTATAGTCCAGTGGTCCTCAGCCCTAGCTGCACATTAGAATCACCTGCAGGGAGGGAGAGGGTAGGGATTGGGGGATTTGAAAATACCCAGGGATTCTGATTCAACTGGCCTGGGCATAGGCCTTTTTAAAATTCCCCGGGTGATTATACTGTGCAGCCAGTGTTGGAACCATAGCTATAACTACAAGGAGAATATTTCACACGGGTATTGTCTTAGTTATCTAGTGCTGCTATAACAGAAATACCACAAGTCATTGGCTTTAATAAACAGAAGTCTATTCTCTCATAGTCTAGTAGGCTAGAAGTCTGAATTCAGAGCACCAGCTCCAGGGGAAGGCTTTCTCTCTCTGTAGGCTCTACAGGAGGAAGGTCCTTGTCATCAATTTTCCTCTGGTCTAGGAGCTTCTCAGTTCAGGGACCCCGGGTCCAAAGGACATGCTCTGCTCCTGGCATTAGTTTCTTGGTGGTATGAGGTCCCCATATCTCTCTGCTTGCTTCTCTCTTTTATATCTCAAAAGAGATTTACTCAAGATACAACCTAATCTTGTAGAGTGAGTTCTGCTTCATTAACATAACTACCTCTAATCCTGCCTCAGTAACACAGAGGTAGGATTTACAACACATAGGAAAATCACATCAGATGACAAAATGGTGGACAATCACACAATACTGGGACTCATGGCCTAGCCAAGTTGACACACATTTTGGGGGAATACAATTCAATCCATAACAGGTATGTTTTCCTATTCTCAGATCAGCTGACTCTTTCCATCCCAGGGCCATGGACAGTTTGGAAGAGGATTCCTTCTGTGTGTGTGCGCATATAGGTGTGTATTAGGGTTTTTTTGGTTCCATTTTATTTTTTTTACAAACTTCCTGTGCTGGAGTCAGAAGCATGAATGTTGTTGCAGACTCCTTCCCCTTCTGCCTTTATTCCCTACATTCAATCAGCCCCCAAGTCCCCTCCATTCTTCTCTTCATTTCTCATACCTCCCCCTCCTCTTTTATCTGCCCCTGCACACACCCCACTCTAGGGGCTCATTGCCTCCTGCCTGGACATCTGCCATGTCCTCCTAACTGCACTTTCCAGTGCAGTCTGGTCCCCTTTCCACCACTTTCCACGGCGTTCGAGGAAAATTTGACTTTCCTTATCATGGCAAGTCCACTGGTGATTTGTCTCTGATACCTTGTCAATTCTGGCATTGGCCTGTAGAGTCCAAAGGAAAACTCAGCCCATCTTAAAAGGAAAAATAATTAGTTGGATTCAAGAAATCAGATTGTCTTCTTAAGACCAAGTTGAGGTCTAATCTGCTCCAACTGTAGTTAGACTCTTTCCCAATATCTGATACTTGATTTCATTTTAAAAGGAGGAGATTATTCTACTACTGGGCATAGTTTAGAAATAACCTGTAATGTTGGAGGAGCCCTGGAGGTGTAGTGGTTAAGAACTTGGCTGCTAACCAAAAGGCTGGCAGTTTGAATCCACCAGCTGCTTCTTGCAAACCCTATTGGGCAGTTCTACTCTGTCCTATAGGGTTGACTTGATGGCACTGGGTTTGGTTTTTTGGTTTGGTAATGTTGGAGATGTGCTTTCCAGAGCTGGAGACAGCCAAGGTGGGTGAGGGGGACGCATTTGCCTCCATCTCCCAAGTTACAGCATGCATCCTCCCAGATTTCAATGTGCTTTGTGATTGGTTTAGCATCTGATGGAGGGCCAAAAGTAGGTTTCATTGAGAAATCTCTAATTTCTGAATCCGTAGCCATGGGAAAGAGACATCGGACACT